TACTTTGTATTAGAAATAAAGTTTCGAAATTAGGAACGAATAAATTTATGTATTGGTTATTCAGGCTATTATATTTTAGGTATTATATGTCAAAGGTCAAAGAAGACAGCATCATCTGACAAACCAAGAATGCAATTGTACTGTACATTGAACTGTTGACATCATGATCATGTTATAAAAGTGATTTTCATTGATAATTTTAGGCCTAAAAGTTCAGATGTATGTATGACACTGTACGTTACCTATCTGCGTGTCACTCCCTCACACTTCGATTCATATATAATACGTAAATGTATACGCAATAAAAACTTATTTCATCGCAAGTAATGAATGTATAAGTATGAAATAAGTGTACAGGGATCTATTTTCACGTGCATTCTGGGTGAAGAAATATGGCATTCCATCATTCCCCACAAGCACATATTGCTTCGTACTGTACATAGGTCAAAAGATAGCACTTACTCACCGCCATCCGTCCGTTTCCTTAATATCGAGTTAGGCAGATGAAAGCCGAGACAAGATGTGGAAACCTTAGAAGTAAAAAGTCTAGATTAACTATATACGAACTTCCGTTTTCTAACAATAGTAATGTTATTTCAATTCAAACTTTTCCCCTAAATGCAGTTAATGAGATGACTGGCACGACTCTATTGTTAAAGGAAAAGTATGATGCACAAGGGCAACCCACTACTAATTGAGGTAAAGAGCATAGCTTTTAAGTTAAACACATAAAAAATATGATTAAAATTTGCAGCCCCGGCATTGTGACCATGTCACAATAATTGCTTGTTTTACTTAAAAATGTATAACATGACATACATATACTGTATGTCATGACATACATATACTGTATGTTATACTTCGTAATGGCCCGCCAATGGATGAAACCGTTGGATTTGGTAGTGGAATTTTTCCACTACAAATTTTCTTTCTTTCTTTATGGAAGAAAACGTAAATAATTGTTTTTAGGGTAATTCATTATGCATTTTTATGGATCTCAGATGAAGAACAGATCTTATAAACTATGTTTATATGGAAATTTTTGTGTCTGCCCTATTACTATTCGAAAAGAACCAATTCCTACTTTCCCCTACTTCTACAGTACCACGACTACGAAGGAAAAATGGGGATAACGATTTCGAGCTACAGTTAAGTACATCCAATGTACAGTACGTTCCAACAGGATCACGCCATCCCGAATAAATAACGGATGTCCACGGGACGTGGGTTGTTCAGGAAAGAAATTGAAAAAAGCACTTACAAGTTGCAGACACTTTGTTACAGTTCACCGGGAACACTGAGAGTTCCAAAGACTAACTTAAAAATCAGTGGTAACGAAATGATTCCAACAAAACGGGGATATCCATGGCCAAATATATTATTCCCGTCCGTCAGAAAAATTTTGCTGCCATCATACAGTATAAGCAATATCTGTTTTTACAAATACCTATAAATTCGTATCATTCCTTTTACTGTCTTTTTTCCGCCATATTAAATTTCCCACTGCAAGTTGAAATTGACATAATTGTACGTGACCTAATGACTTATTATTCTATTGGTCTAGTTATTCATTACTACAATACAGAAAGATTGATCGAAT